TATACATATTACTATCGATCAAAAAAAGCCAAAAATACACGTTTCTTTTTCTAGTAGAAAATCCTTTAATTTCAAATTTATTTTTACCACTTGCTGTTATAGCGGCAACAGAAATACACGTTCTGTGAAAATTACAACCATCTACCTATTACGGATCATGAGATGCAGCCCGCTGACAGACAGACACACGGACAGCTGAGGCTCCGTAATAGGGCCCTGCTGGTTACCTTTCGGTTATGGAATCCTAAAAAGTACTTAGTTGTCCACTCACATCTGTATGATTCTTTCTTCAAAGGACCATTAGCCACCTGCCTGGTTCTCAAATATTGCTGAAATTTTCATTTCAGCAAAATTGCCTGGTGCCTGGTATGACATGACCAATGTAATACCTGGACAGACCTCTCTGAGTTTGTTTCGGCAGATCGGGTGCTTCTTCTCAGTTTCATGTTTTTGTTGTGTTAAAGTGTTTTAAAAAAAAAACAACTTACAAAACACATTTTATTTATCATTGACTGCCCTTCTTAGATTATTATGTACTTACATAAATTACATTAGATATATTAGGATATGAGATTCCTATACGTAAGCACGGTTATCGAAAATCTAAAAATTACCTATTCTAAATAAATTAATAGATAATTTTAAGATTTTCGATAATCGTGCTTATCTATGAGATGTTTTCGTTAGTTAGCAAATTAAAGTAGTTAAGTACCTCATGTACTACCTGTATCGAAAGTTCATTATTATGTATCTACCTGTCTTCAATTTTAACTAAATGTGCTTCAAAAAACTTATGAGCACATTTTAGCAGCTATATTCATCCCGGCTTCAGCAATGGACACGAACAAAAGGAAGCAATTTTTCTAAATAAAGATGTAGATATGTAGGTATTACAACCATAAATAGATAGCAGCGGCTAACCTAGTTAGTAATTAGTACGTGTGAGTGCGCGCTGCGCCCCCCCCCCCCCTCCGTCCGTCCCACTGATCGGGGAAACAATTTGTAGCGAAAGGCAAGATGATTTATAACAAAAACGGGCGCGCGAAATTTTATAAACAGACCTTTGGTAGTCTGGATGTCACGAAAAATCTATTGAATGTATCTGTTTAAAATAAAATTATTTGCATTTTTGAACAACTAATCTATCCCTGTATGGTAACTGTTTTGCAATTTTCGTTCTTCTTATGGTATTTATTTCCGCCCAAAGATGTGTTAAAACTAGTGTTGAAATTCGGAATTTTCGACGCTTATAATTCTTAAACATACTCTTTTTTACTTTTTTGTTTCCATACAGGACTAGATAATGATGAGACAAATTGAAATCATTTTTTATTTTGAACGTCCACCATCAAACAGTGGAATAATCGCCGGACTACGTTTGTATGGAAGAATAAGTGACTAGTGTACCCTTAAGAGGGCATATGCGTTTCGCGTCGAAAACTACAACACGTACGAATTAACTTGAGACTCCGCTGGAATGCGACCCCCTTCCCGACTCCCCGCACCGCGTCCCGCGCTGGCCGTGCGCGCTCAGTACCAATAGCATTTTTGTTACGGATACGCGTCTCGACTCTAGTTCGATATTTTTGATAATTGTTTGTTGTTTGGTTTGGACTTTTGTTTGTTTTTGTTATATAAGGTCGCCTGTTATGCTTTGTATTTTTATTGTGTACGAATCTGTAACACTTTTTATAGTGCAATAATAATGTATAATGTAATGTGTATAATAAATAAATTAATAATATTATAAATGAGAAAGTGTGTATGTTTATTTCTTTGTCCTTCCTTGACGCGTTAACTAAAAATAATATTATATATATTATAAAAAATAAATATTTAAAATATATAAAAATGGCAACAGTATATCACTTATTACTTCACCCTTGCCAGAACATTTTATTTTGTTTTTATTAATAATCTCATGCATATCTCAAAAATTTCAAATAAAAAAATATTACGACGCATTATTTTGCACACCGTACATTGACAATTACGTCATCGGCCCAGGTCTCAAGTTAATTCGTACGAGCTATACATGTTTTATGGTTTTTCCAAAGGCGATATCGTAACGATGTGAGGAGATTATTTACTGAAAATTAGGGCTTTAGAAAGATGAAGTCTTTGGCTTGAAATTTATATGTTTTATATTTATTTTAAAAGTATAAAATCTTCGTTGTTTAGGTATAACATAACAAAACGTCAAGTGTTATTATGATATTAAGGAATACAAGGGAAAAATAACCCATGCGAATTAGGTTATCGCTTCTATTTGTATATCAATACTATGGCCAATGCAGTAGCAAAGGTAAAACCTTTTGCTAGCATTATAAACGAAGCGGAGTAAAAATCTAAAGTCATAACTATTTTTATTTCAGTAAAAGAATCAATCAAATGGTGTGACACTGCGCAGATGTTAATTAATCAGCTCATCTAAACAATTCTAATCAATCAGCTTATCTAATCAATTTGCTAATTTATTGGATTATAAATTAGCAAACTGGTAAGATAGTAAAAGAAAAAAAAATTCAAATTCAGATTTTTATTGTTTACAAACCTTCTGTGCGTTGAGCTACAAATATTACTGAAAAAATTATGTAAATTGGCCTACGGGTTACGGAGGAGATAGATTTCAAAGAATCGGTTTCTTGCGCCATGGGAGCTCCGCTCCAATAAATAAAATTGATGTGTCATCTATAATATAGAAATAGTTTTATTTCTATATTACAGCCCATTTTTGCATGTGTGTTTATCTGTTCGGGATAATCTTCATAATGGCTTAACTGATTGTGATCAAACCTTTCGAACAAACAGAGCGCATTGCCAGAAGGGCATTCTATGTGGTAGCACGCTGCAGCTATATTATGGTTATAGCACTAATGGGTCGGCTCAACCGGGGTAGAACCAGCGTAAAATAGCAGCTTAATGCTGCTGTGTTTCGTATGGTGAGTGTGACAACGCATCTGCATTTTGATTCCTAATCGAGGATAGATGTAGATGTCTATGGGCCACAGCAACCACTTACCATCAGGTGGACTGTGTGCTCGTTTTTCACCCGTATTCTAAGTAAGTACATAAAAAGGGATCCGGGCGATAATTATTTTGTCCGAAAGCTTGAAAGATTAAAAAATTGATGAAACATAGTCTAATATTATAACAGTCTTTGTAACGCCATTAATAGATCCTATCCACACGACGACGGGGCAAGTCGCTAGGCTATAGGTAATAAATGTCTATAATAAAGGAAATTAAAATTTTTTATCAACTATATTTTCACTATATTTTCCTCACCGTCGAGCACATGCTAAAGCGGCACTTAAAATTGTAAAAAACAAAACAAAAATAATTTCATTGATCCCGGCAGGGAACCTAAAGAGTAAAGATGTAGATAAAACAAATGCTGACACTTTTAATACTACTTATTATTTAGAGATTACTGTATTATTTTTGAATTAAATAATACTAGTTACATTTGCCGTGCATTGTACTTTGAAATACATGTAGAACCCACGGGATCTAACTTACTTTAGCATGTGCAATAAAAAGGTACTCTGTGCCTACGAGCACGCACCCCGCACTGCCGCACAGATGTTGTTCGCGGTGTCTGTTCTAGTACGCTTACTTCAATGGCAACGTACGTTCATAGGGCAGCGTACGTGGGTTTTTCCCGCTGCATACTTTTCAATGTAAGCTACAGTCAGCAGCAATAAATCGACCAACAAGGGCATCTTATTTTTCTTTTTATAAAATAAGGATGACAAACGAGCACACAGTCCATCTGATGGTAGGGGACGTTGTAGCCCATAGACATTTACATCTATCCCCGATTAAAAATCAACTTGCAGATGCGTTGTCCCCCTGATAACTATGAATGATGCCTGTTTACAGTAAGAAGGGTCTCCGGTTCTCTACACTCATCGTATACGAATATACGAAACACAGCAGCATGAAGCTGCTATTTTAAGCTGGTATGCTGTGAGTTTCATACGACGAGATCGATAGCACGTAAAGCCGTCGGTCCTGCGCCTGATACCTCTCGGGTCGTGTTGAACTGCCGTCTCAACGCTCTATGACAGTGAGGCAATACAGGTGTTTCGATCACTATTGTCCTGCCCTGCGCAAATGAAATTCGGTATAAAGGACAAAACATTGTTCTGTTTTTATTTGTCATTAGGAAGATCATGTTGCACATGTAATTAAATCTTCAAGTAATAATGAAAGGATTTTTGGTTGTCTACTTAACTTCATTGACCGCTTGCGAGCGCCTATATATTTTATTATTATCATATTTTCTCGTTTTCAAAATTGTCAAAGTTTTACTATAGAAAAATTGTAAAAAAGAGTTATTATAATATCAAGGAATGCATGAATGAAAATAATTCCTGGGAATGAGATGATCGCCACCATGCTGGTTCTATTAAAATTCGTATAAAGAATTGTACAAAATTATTGTAAAGTGATATAATGTTTAAAAAAAATGTAATCCCGCTTGGTTTGTTGCTGGTCCTTGTTAGATCAAAGGTATTTTCCGAACAAGCGGTAAATTAAAAAATACTTTCAAAAAGTCTTATGTAATTATCTATATTGAATAAAACATATTTATTCTATTTTACCCCACAAATTTGATTACGAAATCGTAAAAAAATATGATAAAAATTGTTACAGTAAAATCTCTAATTAGGCTTTGAGATGCGAATATAATTCAAGATGGTGCAAATGTTGCTTACTACGTAATCAAAGATAACGCTTTTATCTGCTTTCTAAGCAGACATACATTACAGTAAATATTATGTCGCACTTTGGAAATTTTCTATTTTAGAAGTATTTTATTCTATCTAATCGGAGTTCTTCGAATTATTAATACGCTTATTAAATAGCAACATTACGAGGAAACCAACTGCAAACCTTTATCTGCCGCGCACTGTACTCCCGCAGTACAATCAACCCGTATATAAGAATGATACACATTGAATGGAGACCAGTCTCTCACTACGGCGTTGAAGATGCACGCCGCGATACTGGTGCTGGCGCTGTGCAGTGCGGCGCACAGTCTGCCGATTAGACGCGTCTCAAAAAACTCTGGTGATATTTTAACAAATTTTCACACAAATATACCACCAGATAGGATTCATCAAATAGAAGCTGGCGTCAGTGAATCCCTGCTGAAAGCGCTCACGGATGCACAAAAAATGCACATGAAAAGGAAGCAGTTCTTAGTGACGTCACCGACGGATCAACACGAGGACAACGTGAATGGAAGGACCGATGTCTACGAATTTGATCTTTTCGAACGTGACTATTAGAACAATTTAGAGACTGTGCATACGCAGCGGAACCACGGACGGGACGTGGAGCGCGCCGGGTGGGACGGGGTAAACATCGTCGTCGACGATATTTTTCCCGTCCCGTTCATGACACGTCCCCGTCCCGTCCGTGCATCCGTAACGTATGCATTATGACTAACATTATCTATGAAACGATATTTCCCAAAATTCACGTCCCGCTCCGTCCGGAATAAACACGTTACGTAGCACAGAGTACTTTTTTGTTACGTAGGCAGCCGACCTTTAAACGGTGCACGCGTTTGTTTTGTTCAAGTTATGGAGTGTAGCAAGTTTTGTGATTGAGTGGACTATGTGACCCTATGCATGTTTATAATATGTGTATAACTATAAGGTATTTTGCATTGTAGATTTAAAGATTTAACAACACTGTGACATACGACTCGTTATTTAAATATATTGTTTTTGTTTAAGTTTCACTTTTGTTTTATTAAATGTTATATTTTTTGTTAAATAACAATTGCTCATTATTAAACGTTTCTTGCTGTTTGTTATAACAAGAGACTGGCTGTAAGGCCTCTGCCATAGTTCGACCCATTAGAGTACGTACCTAAATACCTACCGATATTTTTAAATCATCATGTTCACGTCATTCCTACTCGGTATCAGTTTTCTTGTGACTATATCTGCAGTAGGTAGTTATTTGCAAAGCAATATATTATAAGCATTAAATACTATTGTATTTAGTTACCAGGGATGCAGTGAATCTAATAGGAAAGAATTTTAAACGATATGAAGAAATAATTGTAGGCTCGTTAGATTGTTGCTGGTGAAGGCTATAGCTACCTGTGTACATATTACATAAAGGGGATCGCCCATTTTCGGCCATGGAACGCCCAACAATGTGCATTTGTTAAAAAAAATATATCTTTATTTATGATTATTAATCGCGGTATTCATTTATCCTAAAACAATGGGAATATTTTCGCACAAATTAAAAGTACCGAAAAGATAAGATTAAAATTAGGTAAATCATTAATTCATTAGTTTGTGAATAAAATAAAAAGTGTTGCTAATCACAATTCTCATTAAAAAAATCGATTCCCCTTTTCCATCGATTACTTATGGTGTCATTATTACAATGCTTATATAATTTTTCGATAATTATTACGATGTTATGATATAGGTTTAAAATAACCGTTGACAATGCATATTTATCCAAAGCAGCCGATACGCAACCGTTATTAACCAGTTGTTTATCCGACTACAGACGAAAAAGGATTGTTATGTTTTTACTGTGTGTGCGGGTTATTCTATGTTGAATCGTTTTTTGCTATGGTGCTTAAAAACGTAGGATGCATTTTATTATTGAGGGCGCTACTATCAAAGAATATTTTTTTCGCTAAACTCGTAAAGTACTTGACCAACTTTGAGAATTCTTTCACCACTAGATTGTTATGAGACTGAGCCGTGGTAGCTCAGTGGTTAACGCTCGCTGTAAATATAACAGAACGCGAGTGACCCGGGTTCGATCCCCGCCGGCACAAATGAAATTGTTAATTGCAATTTTAAGTGCTGATTTACCATGTGCTCGGCGGTGAAGGAAAACATCGTGAGGAAACCTGCATGTCTGAGGAATAAGAGAAAAAAAAATAATTCGAAGACATGTGAAGTTCGTCAACACGCATTTGGGCAGCGCGGCGGACACTTCCTTGCCCTAAACCCTCTCAGAAATGAGGGGAGGCCTGAGCCCAGCAGTGGGACGTATATAGGCTGTAACTTTATTTTACTTTTACATTGCTAATGAGGGCGTTAGCTGTGTGATACATTTATGTTATTACAGTAATTAATTGTGAGATTAATATTTTCTAAATTAATAAAACTAAATACCTACCTAAGATGTTCAAATCCAATTATTATTTTTACAATTTAAGAATCGTATTTACACACTTTACTTACTCAGATTGATTATTATAGATAAGGAGGTAATAAATCTAAAGTAAAAGAGCTCCGCTTAAACGAAAAAACTATTTATTAAGGGGAAATATAACCTCAAATGGCTTAGCAAGATCCTCCGTTATGCCGAAAGTATTGCAGCATTAATTTTGAAATAAATGTATGGTAAAGTTGAGGATTAATGTTAAGGTTTATGTTAGACGAAAACACGATTCCGTAAAATTTTCTCGATAGAAAAAAAATCCAAAGTTACCTCCAAACTGAACAATAAACCGCTGTTATTCATAAAATACTTTAAATAAGATCATGAAACTTTGCATACTAACTGAACTAACCATAAAGCAGTGCTTATGTTATTTACTTTTTTTTAAAATATCGTTATTTTCACTGTAAAAAGAAATTACCTAAACTATCGGCGCGTAAGCTTGGTTCTTGCCCAGGAACCAAGCTTACGCGCCGATAGTTTAGGTAATTTCTTTAAGGCATAACGGAGGATCTTGCTAAGCCATTTGAGGTTATATTTCCCCTTAAAATAAAACTAAAAGTTGAAAAAAAAGTGGTTCAGTGCGAGTCGGACTCGCAAGCCCATGAAGAGTTCTGTAGTAACAAGCATATATTTTAAATGGAGTCAAAATACCACTATCATTATCGCCAGCAACAAATTATTTTGTTTTTCATAGTGTTTGTATAAATAACAAAGTTGTTTTTGCGGTTATTTAAAATGTGCTACTTGTGTCTAAAAAAAAGGATTATTATACATTATAGGGGTTTCTGTGGTTTATTCATTACCAAAGAGAAATAACTTATTGCACAAAATGGGTTTTTATCCATTTCAAGTCATCAAAAGCGGTAGTCAACCGTTAAAAACTAAAACAGCCGTTGTTATAGGCTCGGTTGAATTCATTGACAACCTTCACATTTATAGTTATGATAATTAAACAAGCGAATTACTAGCTGATTTACCAAGAATTCTTTAGAGTATAACAAAACGCTACTGCACAAGTTAACTGTTATTCTTATCTGTTTTTAACATAACATTTAAAATGGAATCATGTTATGATAATTCAAGAAGTTAATTTCTAGCCGATTTACCACGAGTTTTCTAAAGCATAACAAAACAATACAGCACAAGCTAACTGTTCCTAAAAATACATTTGAAATAGAATTTCAATAAATAAAGGAAGTTATATTTTAAAAAAGCGTGCAGAACTTAAAACGCGTCAAAGATTATTCTTTTCATGATATTATTAATCGAATAAAAATCGATATCGTTTCATAGATTTTATGACAGTTAAGTGGCAACATCGAATCTGACATGTAGGCCCCTGTCACTGTTATGTCACAAGAATTTAATTGCGTGTTATTTTGTTTTGTTGGAAAATGCAACTGTTGATCTCTCAACAATTGGTTCGAACACAGCAGGTAAATAGTTGGTACATATCACGAAGTGGCATGTTTTCCTCTAAAAAATGCTATATAACTGAGTTTACTTGAATAATATCAATATAATAATTGTAGCTTCTTTATTAGGTACAAGTTTCGAGTACAGTGAACGTGTAGTGTGCCACTCGCAAAATGCACCAATAGTTCGTCTTGAACATGTATACATCAGCTGTGGCACTGACACTTATAAGAATAAGATCACACACATTGTTTGGGTTCGATTCTCCACGTGAGGAACAATTTGTGCCACGTGAGTTAAGATAAGGTAAGATGTTTAGCATTTTTCAATATATTAAATGTGATCCTCATATCTGATAATTATACATGTTTTTACACTGATTGTGTATCAACTCGAGAACTTGTTTTATTTTTTCACATCTGCACTAGCTATATCTGACAAACATACTAGCTTATTTATGAGATTGACCATTTTTATCAACTACCAAGAAAGGAGACAGTTGATTTTTCATTGTTTTTGGACTGCTGGTAGTCTGTCAGGCCTTAATTGTTAAATAATATAGGGCATTAAATCCGTCCTTGTCCAGTAACATTTAACTTGATAAATATTTTATTTATATTTGAGTTTGAAATAAACAAATCTATTTTATTTTTTCACTTTGACTTCATTTTTTGTATTTTACATTATTTCAGTTGCCGTTGTCATGCCGTGTATATCATAATTGCTGGCAATGAACTGATAGAACAGCATCACGTTCAACTGCAGAATGGGAACCATCTGAATCATCTAGTCCGTCCTTGTTGCAATCTGAAGTGAGTAATGTATTGCACCCAGAACAACAAAGCTTAGATCATACATCACACAGTGGACTGCTAACTAATTATTTAAAAGCACAATGTTTTTTACCTGGTTGTAACAGTTCCATCAGCATTGCGAGTATGTCTCTTTTGTGATTAACTACATTTTGCGATAACAAACATACATAGTGACAATTACTATGTATGTGTGTTATACGTGGTAGAGCCATGCTGCACTTATATTAGAAGTATAGTTGTAGCATGAATGGGTCAGCACGACCGGGGAAGGACCACACTCTCACAGAATACCAGCGTGAAATAGTAGCTTAATGCTGCTGTGTTTTGTATGGTGAGTGTAGACAACCGGAGACCCTTTTTACTGGAAACGAGAAAATGATCTTAGTCCTCACGGGTGACAACGCATCTGCATTTTGATTTGTAATCGAGGATAGATGTGGATGTCTAAGGGTCGCAGGAATGTCTCCAGCAGATGGTGAATCTCAGTTAATGACAAGATATGCTAATAAATCCAGAGCTGTGACTATGTGTCTATATGGGTAGTAGAGGTGGTAAATGACATTTTAAAAACTGAATTTAAAATATTTTATCAAAATTACTTTAACAGGGCTTCTACACATTTGATGATAGACTGCTGTGGCTGCTGCTATAATTAGTAAATTCCACACAAAAATAAGGGACAGGGATAATGCGGCTCAAATACTTGAAATTGTTCACCAAAATATGGAGACAAATAATGATTTGTCTGAGTATGCTAGGGAAAACAATCTAAATAGAGCTAGGGCAAGCAGACTTTAGAAATATAAATGTAGACTTTAAAATGTTAGGGAATTTCCTGTTTTAACTTA